CTATGGAAGAAATAAATTTTAAATAAAGGAAAGTGAGAGAAAGATCAATCATTGATGGAATCATGTCCTATAGGAAGAAGGAAAGGCTTTGATCAAAAGTACAGTTTTTGATCAAACTCCTTAAAAACAGAAGGGAAGAAGTTCAGAATGAGGTGAAAGAGGGCAAAATTGGGCTTTATGTGGAATGGCCTCTGTTTTCTCTGGGAAGCTAGAAAGACTGAGAGAGATAAGGATGAAGAACTGTGCATGAAAAGGGGGTAGAAGTTTGGTACGTTTTCCCTAGGGAAGGAGAAGTGAGAAAGTGACATGTCAGGGATATGTATATATAGTCTCTAAACCAAACATTTCTAATGCTGCAATGATGAATGAGATTTTTCTTTTCGGAAGTACTTAACCTGTGGCAGGAGAGCAAGCAGGTGTGGGCTGGCGTGGTTTGGTGTGGGGGCAGGAGGTGAGAGTGTACTGTGGTATAGTTGTAGTAGCCAGGCTGAGTAGAGAAAAGATGAGGCTGATAACCTAGATGAGCATAACGAGGCTCAGAAACGAGAATTCTCAGGGAGACTGGGGAGCCCTTTGTTTGCAGGTGTGGGAACAGATAGAAGGTTTTGACTGGAGTGCAGGGTTTCCAAGTCCTTCATCCAGCAGTCACCGCACATTAGTTCTGTGCACTTTCTGCCAGAGGCTCAGAGAATAAAGGAAGAATTAAGAATTGGTTTCTTCCCTTAAAGAGTTCACAGCCAAGGTCTCAAGAGGTGAAGCCTTTCCAAGAGACCACAAGGTCTGGGGTATATCCCCCAAAGTGATTTCCTATGATAGGTTGGAGGGGAAGATCGGGGATCAAAGGAAGCCAAGCAGCTGGCGGAAACATGCTGGATATGACATTCTTAGGGTCCTGTCAGTCCCAGAGAGAAAATAGGCTTTCTCTCTGCACAGTCATTTCTCAGGGCCACGTGTATTCTCCCCTAGCCTGTGGTGTCAGGGTTGTTTTTCCATTCAAGTCTTTGCGCCTTAAACTCTTGTGATTGCCTTGGTGTTGATGATTTTCTTGAGTGTAGAGCAGATCAACAGGCTTCAGTGATCGGCTTCTGCACTCTGGTACTTAAGTCTGTGAAGAACTACTGATCTGTGCTTCAACTTCCCTTTCCTTTCTTGCCCTTAACTTCTTTTTTTTCCTTTTCCTTTTTTTTTTTTCTTTTTCTTCCCCCCCCCACATTGTTAGATGGTGCGTACACTTGCCAGAGAGAGACAGAGTGAGCAGCAGAAGGAAGATACACTTCCTCAAACACCCCCATGAGGCGTGGTCCTGCTGCAATCCCTTCTCCTCCATTTTTCCATTGTGTTGGGTTTGGGGCATATATGCACAGACATCCAGTGTGTATATCAAGTTGCCAAGGTCAGGATTCAAACTATGGTCAGCCATATTCAAATATAAGAGATTTGGCTCACTTAACCAGTAGGCTGTGAGGACAGTTTTTGCCCTTAATTTCTTGACCCATGTAATGGAGATAGGAAGGGGCCACAAATCCTCTGTGGGGCAGGAGCAACTGAGATAAGTATCTATAAAGACAAGGATGAGTGTGTACATGTGAAACAGGACATTGCTCAGTGCTCCAGGAACTCCATGACAGATTTCATTCTTCACACACGCTTGTAAAGGAAGCTGGCCACAGAAAGGCACTTCTTCAGCTGGAGTAAGAAAAGGCCTTGACACGTCTGCTTGGCCGGGACTGTCTAGGGGAATGCACACATCAGCATTTCCAGGTTTTTAGTGCCCACACAGAGCTGTGTGGGACTTCAATTCATGGCCCATCTGGGCATTGCTGTCTGGGAACCGAATTCCCTCCCTTCCTGTCAGAGAGGCTGGCCTGTGAACTTCACTGATGGGCGGCCAGACCGAAACATCCCACTCTAGCTATTTTATGGGTTTTGCCTGATGGGAGGGAAGAGGAAGCATGTGTCTTTGATCTTTTGCCTCTTGCTTCCTTTCTGCTATGAATTTGGAAATTCAGCTTTTCTGGCTGTCTAGCCCAAATTTCAGATGAAATTCTGGCAGTGGGCTTTCTTCTCTCAGGGAATGCTCCTTCTCCAAGGATCTGGACACACACCACCAAGGGGATCATGAAATCCATCTGTGAAATCTGTCACAGAGCTCCTGAGTAACTGGGCAGTGCCCTGTTGCACATGTATGCACTCATTCTTGTCTTTATACTTATCTCAGCTGCTTTGGCTCCACAACGGATTTGAGGTGTGGTCCTATCTCCATTTTACTGGTAAAGACATTCTATATTGGGGTCATAATGACCCTAGGTGTAAGATATGACATGATTTTCCTGATATGTAATGGCTTTTGTGAAATATTTTTTCTTTCTTTCAGAGACTGAGAAGTCAACTGGAGCCCACCAAGTCTTAAGACCTCTCTACTGGCTGAAACCAATGTCATCAGGGATGAGTTGTTCTTACCAGATACTTCTCTGTTCCTGACGTGCACCTGTACTCAGGTAGTTAAAGCATTAATGAGATTATCGTCCTGGGAGCACTGTGTAGGAGATAGTCACTTCAGTGGAGGCTACATTCCAGGGGACACCTATTGTGGCTACTGAAATATAAGATGTGACGTACTGTCACTGAGCACATTTCACTTCACACTTTGCACTCTGTGATTATACTCAGCACAGATGGGTGGACTCGGCTCCAGAGACTATGCATTTGCAACAGTTGGAATGAGATTACCTCGAAAATAGTAGAGAGTGAAAATAACATATTGTAATGCAATTATTCATTCAATCTTAAGAGAGAATGCTCACAGACAGGGTCTTTTGTTTGTTTATTTGTTCTTGTCATCTTCATCAAGAATTCAGCATCCAGTCAGGAAGACAAGATATGAGCGATGGAAAGGGGCTATCTCCTTTCAGTTGTGCTGCAGTTTGTCAGTAATTAAATGAGGAAGCTTTGGGTCATGGATAAAGAAAGCTGTTGGAAAGTAAGATTTCTAAGAATTGGTGGGTCTGTCAAAAGGAGTATACTGTGACCCTGTTGACTGAACCTAGAGTGTTCTCTAGAAATCATGTTCTCTAGAATGGTGTGGAGTTAGTCCAATGTTTTCATGGGAAGAGGGACTTGGCTTTGAAAATATATAGCTCCCAGTAGTTGCTGTTGTGGCTATGTCACTGGACTCCCATGTAGTCAACCACAGTTCGGGTTCCAGACCTGGTGGCTTAAACTTAGGCCAGGTGCATGTGTATGCGTGCCCAAGATCCCAAGAGGAGAATGAAGGAGAAGGGATTGTGGCGTGGTCATCCCCCCCCTGGGGGAGTGATTTGTTTCTTTCTGTCTCTGCCTCTTTCTGTCTTTCTGGGTGATTTGTTTCTTTCTGTCTCTGCTTCTTTCTGTCTTTCTGGTGAGCATATGCACTCTATAGCAAAAATCTCTCCAAAAAAAAGAAAAGAAAAGGAAGGAAAATATATAGCTCCCTAGTCATATTTCTGTCCTTGCCAACATAATCCCTAGGATAAAAGTATCTAGAGGAGAACCTATTCCAGAGCTTGTGCCAGGTGGCTCTCATTACAAATCGATGAACTGGTATTGGGTGATGATGTGTTCTCTAGGGGATATGGTTATTGGCAGTCATTCTTCCAGAGCCTGGTTACTATGAACCTTGAGTTGCTGGCCCAGGACTGGACCAGTGCTGCCCTGGTCAAGGCCCTCAGACTGACACCTGACACTTTTCTGACTGTGTTGGTGATATACATGAGGTTCACAAACACTGAGAATTTTGCTTAGACTGGTTAATGAAATAGGGATGTTTGTTCTAGAACAGGTTTTTCAACCTGGCACTATTAACACTTTAGGTTGGATAACTCTTTGTGGTGGGGCCTGTCCTGTACACTGGAAGATGTTTAGTATTGTCCTGGACCCTACCCACTGGGAACCAGTATCACTCCTCAATGTAGTTGTCTCCAGAAATGAAAGGCTACCTGGAACAGAGCACAAAATTGTACTTGAAAGTGGCTAACTGCTTCATGCCCCTTACCTTTATGATGGTAGAAAATGCAGAAATTTTACAAAAAGTTTATTTATTTATTTCCTCTATAGGGGAGAGAGAGAAAAAAAAGAGTGTGAGAGAGACAAAGAGGGAGAGAAAGGACAGCCACTCCCAACAGTGTTTTGAAGCCACAGTCCACCCCCAGCCTCAGCCAGCCTGGGTCATGAGCTTGTACACATGCCTGGTGTGTACAGGGAAACAGGATGCAGACCCAGGACCTTCCTATGTGAGTCAGTTGCATTCTATTATTTCTGGTCCCCTCAAATTCTTTTTAAAGTTTATTTCTTTTATGAGAGTTCAGGAGAGACAGAGAGAGAGAAATAAATAAAGGAAAAGACAAGCATCCCCAACAGGATCTCACCTGGGGGGTGATTTCTCACTTTCTGTCTCTCTGTGTCTCTCCAGAAAGTACACACACCTATAGCAAAAATCTCTCTTAAAAAAAAAAAAGAGGAGAGAAAGAGGAGGAAGAGGAGGAGGAGAAGCAGCAGCACTGTTGTGTGAGGTTAGAGGGGTGAGGAAGGGGTTCCAAACAGGAGAGAGAAACTTCCCAAGCACTGAGTGAGGCCTGTCTAACTACTGGGAGAGAGGGGAATTGTGGGCACCTCCTGAGGCTCCATGCCCTGCAGCTCAGTTCCTTGTCCATCAAGTGGAAGATGGAAGGGTAGAAGCAGCACCCTCCTAGGGCCTGCTTGCCCTGACAATCAAAGATAGTAAGGTTCATTCTACTGACAGAAGAATCCTGGACAGTGAGAGGAATGACTCCTCTCTGAACACTCTAACCTAGCCCTATTTGTCCCATCCCCTTGGGATACACTGAGGCTGGGCAAGTCCTCCTGGTCTCTTTTCTTTTCCAAAGAAAAAGTAAAAAGTGAGCTCATTTTGCTGTCCAGGTAGGTGGGGAACCTGGGTTCAGGCTGCCTCCACTGCGGCATCTCCTAATCATCATTGTCACCCCTTCCCTTGGCTCAACACAGACACACTTTCTAGCGAGATGAACAAAGCCCACCTGGACCCTGCTACCCTTTTCATATATGGCAAATTAGAAACTGTGAAAAGGCAAAAACAAAAAAACTGCTTGGCTGTCTGTTTCTACTTACTCTTACAGGCCTCTGTCAGATAATCTAAACCGTCACGGCAGGCCTAGGATTTCTGGACAGCCGCAGCAGCTCAGTGGGACTTGTGTAGCTTTTTCCTTTGCTATGTTCCTTGTGGAGGTTGGTGAGGCTTTGAGATTCTCTAATTCTGAGCTTTCAAAACTGGGATATGAAATTCTTAAAAAAAAAAAAAAGAGGAGAGAAACAGAGAGAGAGAGAGAGAGAGAGAGAGAGAGAGAGAGAGAGAGAGAGAAAGGGCTCAGGGAAAAGAATTTGAGAGTAGAATTTGACTCTGGTGTTCACTACTTCTCTAACTTCTGTAGACCTTGTTACCTGAGCAGACTCTCCTCTACCCTCTTGCTTGGTGCCCTCATCAAGGTACTCTCTAACTATGTAGAGAACCCAGTTCTATGGCAGCATCAAGGAAGAATCACCCTCCTTGCCCAGATCAGGTGTACAAAGATAGCTCTAAGTGAAACTCCCATGGGCCTCTCGTAACCCGGTGCTCATGCTGCAGGTGATCACAAACTTCATGGGGAGCAGCTGTCCTCAAACCCTACTGGGCATCTTGTAAAATGAGGTTTTGATTCAGTAGGTCTGGGATGGTGTCCAAGATTATGCCAGTTAACAAGCTCCCCAAAAATGTTGGTGCTACTGGTCCATGTACCATATTTTGGGTAGTAAGGGAGTCTACAAACTGTTGTCCATGGGCCAAATTGGGACCACTGCCTATTTTTGTAAATAAAGCTTTACTGTAACACAGCCACACTGATTCAAACAGTCTATGGCTGCCTTTGTACTACATTGGCAAAGTTGAGTTGTTGTGACAGAGACTATGTGGCTCTCAAACCCCACGATGTTTGCTCTTAGCCTTTTAGAGAGAAGATGTGCTGATCCCTGCCCTTGATTGATTGCCCCATGTGGATCATAAAGGTTCTTCCCTGAATGTTGCTCTTGAGGATGGGCCACCCAAAAGTTGTCTTTCTTCAGCCTTAGCCTGCCTCCTTTGCCCCTCTTCCTTTTGCTCTTGGCTCCTACAACCTCTCCATGGATTCCTGGCATGGGACATTGCAGGAGGAGTCTCTGTGCTACAGTGAAGCTTCCATCTCACATGTGGTTCTCTCATGGTCCTGAGAAAGTGTCCTGCCTGGTACCCCACTCAAAGCCTCAGGCAACCTTGGTGTTCATTTAGCTTTCAAGGTGACTTACTATGTGAAACCTGTGAGAAATCTCCCTTGAGACTCATGAGTTCAGATCTCACACTTCGTGTTTTTTTCTTTAATCCATTCATCCAGCCAGCCAACCTTATTTCATCAGGCACCATACTAGGTGCTGGAGCAACAATGCTAGGTGCTTGGGCAACAAGGATTTTAAGGATACCTTTGTAAAGTATAGGAGACAGATATGTAAGCCGATTATTCTAATTACAATGTCACAGGTACCACATTGAAAGAAGATTTGGATATTTTGATACCCAAAGAAAGGAGTCTGGAGGATTCATGGGGAACTTTACTGTGGTAGATCTTTTCTTTTCAAATCATGCATTTTTATTGAATTTTACACAAATATTTTTTGCATCTAGTGATGTGATACATATTATCCCATTAATCTAGAAATGTGACAAATTATGCTTATTTACTCTCCAATTTTTTAATGTGAGATCATTTCTCTTACTTAAAATTAAGCTATATTCAGAATGTGATATGAATTAGATTTTAACTTTAATACTACTAAAAAATAACTTGGCTACCATTCCTGTTAACTTAAAACCAAAATTTGATTGTAGGATTCTATAATCACTCTTGTACCTCACCAACACCATATTATTCACTGTTGTACCTCACCAACACCATATTATTACTATTATTAATTTTAAAATAGTGGTAAAGGGACCAGCAGTTAGTGTAATGGCTATGTCCCTGGACTCCCATGTCACCATATTCACTGTTGTACCTCACCCACACCATAATTCAAAATTCACTGTTGTACCTCACCGACACCATATTATTATTATTAATTTTAAAATAGTGGTAAAGGGACCACCAGTTAGTGTAATGGCTATGTCCCTGGACTCCCATGTAGTCGACGTGGTTCAAGTCCCGGACCCGGTGGCTTAAAACTCATGCCGGGCGCGTGTGTGTCCATGCCCAAGATCCCGAGAGGAGAATGGAGGATAAGGGATTGTAGCATGGCCATCACCCCTGGGGGGGTGATTTCTCGCTTTCTATCTCTCTGTCTCTCTCTGTCTGTCTGGCGAGCGCACACACCCTATAGTGAAAAACCTCTCCAAAAAAAAAGTGGTAAAGTCCATATAACATAAATGTTATAATATTAAGTATTTTAAATGTACAGGTCAGTG